GCATCTACATTGTTGTCTGTTCAATCACTCATTTGATGCTTTATTTTTCCGCTTTTTAATTTTTTTGTTACAGTGCTCACCTTAAATGTTGTGCCCCATAAGGGGGGCAAGCGGACATGATTAAAGGAGTGAGCTCCCATCATGACCAATGCAAAGGCTGGCCATTCAACCCCTTGCACTCGCCTCTCCTGCTGCAGAAATGAAAAAACAATTTCATTGCAGTACTATCTGCACATACTCTGAACTCAATGATCAGTGTGAGTTCTCCCAGGTATGCATAGGACTGCAGCTAGTCAGGAGCTTTGAGGGAAATACATGGAGAGAAAAGGGCAAATGTGTTTTCCCTAATAACAACATTTTTCTTAAATTGTCCAAGAGGCAGTGTTCAGTGCCTCAACAATTATGTCTTCCCAGTGCAAACAGTATCTTTAGAGGAGACATTTTCTTCAGATGGGAGTAAAAAGTTGAATTCTCTCTCCTTGCCTCCTGAGATCACAATAGGCAGCACTCTCTTATCTTCTCTCTCACACTCACACACAGTGATTTGCATTTTCTTAAACCAGTATGTTAAATGAGTACATTTAAAATCAAAGTCTACTTTGACCCTCAGCTATAGTAAAATCACAGAGGCCTTAAGTCAATGGGGAATCCTTTGGTTCTGAATTCAAAATGCATTGACATGTTAGTTGTGGGAAGCAGGCCAGGGCTGAGCATCTGGTGTCGGTGGGGTAAGGGGTCACATTTCACCTCTGGAAGGTGCCAAGTTTAATTCTTTATAAGACCAAGTCGCAACAAGTGATAGGCAAAACTTCTTTATGCTTGAGACCCTGAAGAACCATTGCCATCCAAAGTAGATGATAGCAGACTCCAAAGACCAATGGCTTAATTTAGTATAAAGCAGATTTACAGTTTAGAAGCAACACACAACAAGCGATAAGTGTTATCTACAACATGCTACGGGGGGCGGCAACAACTTGATTTTTTCAAAGTAACATTACAACTACTAATATGGCTAGCCTTTCTAGTGTCAGGCAACATTTACTTATTACACTTAAATGATCTTTTAGGAAATAAGGATAAAAGAACTAAAAGATATGAGTGAGTAATGGATTAGTACTGTGTCACTGTTTCAACAAGCAAAGTTGACAGGCTACTGTTAAGTACTGGTAATGAGTAGCAAACTACGGTTACTTTATTAAAATGATTTACCAAGTTCCGGACAGATTTATATATAACTTTCAAGCAATGCAAACAGGTTTTCCTTTTTTATCTATTTATACCATGGTACTTATGCCATATTTATACCATGGGATAACGTATAAGTAAATGAAGTAGCCCCAGAGTCTTTCACCCAAAACAAGTGATGCTGTGATATGATGCATATTTAGTATATTTTTAAGATTCTTATTTTTGTTCCATACCTTTATACATGTGGATGGACATACCAAGATTTAATGGATTTGAGATGTGAACCCAGTTTTCCCCAGTCCAAATCTGTTGGCTAAATATAAAGTTTATGCCCTAGACTCCTACTAAGCCCCAGTCCAAATCTGTTGGCTAAATATAATACAAAGTTTATGCCCTAGACTCCTACTAAACTCAGTTCACTACTGCTGTATGCAATATGGATTTGGTGACCCTCAGAGATCAGATAAGGCTACAACTACATATCAGAGAAGGTGATTCACTGTGAAGCTCTAGGTGTGTACCATTAAAGGAATCACAAGCTGAAATCCCCAGTCCCATTACTGACCATGAGACTTCCAGATGCATACAGAACTGATTTATCACAATGCCTAATAACTTCACTGATAAAACTCTTGTCAACTTCCTTCTGAGCAGAAACAGTCCAGTGTGATGTGCTTCTGCAAGTCCATACCTCTGCATCAACAGTAGCTCCAGTGTCCTACTCTGGGCTTAGTTATTACAGGCATGACCTCCAGCTCCTCACCACAAGCCAGCCCTTAAGCTATAAAGGTACAGAGTGTTTTAAGTATATGGGTTATGCTTGTTTCCTCTTCCAGACTATATAAAGAAAGTTTTGGTTACTCCTCCTTTCTAGGAATTAAATACAGGTGTAAATCAAGCTAAAAACTGACTCAGACTTTCAATACAGCTACTTTTTTCTGCATTTCAACCCTATCTTGGCTTTACCAGCAGCAGAAACTGCTTTGATAACTTGTCTTGTAACATGGTTGTGGCTGCTGTTGTTTATTATTGCAAGTTATAAGAAAAATCTATAATGATTTGCATTCATGAATCAGCTGTGTTGTACCACTGGTTGCGGGTAGAAATGGATCATGGAAAGGTCTTGTGCTTTCTATTCAGGAATGTATTTTTCTCCCAACCAATCACAGATGTTCAACTGCCTATTCTTTCTTATACAATGCATGGACAGTTCTAACCCATCAAATCTATACACTGTGAAGTCTATGCTTTAGGAACAGTCTTCCCTAAACTAATCCTCCCTCCCAGATGTTTTGGAGCAGACATACCAGCTTAGAACTAGAGGAATCTTCCTGCAGCCTATTGCTTTCCATAAGTGGTGAAACTACAGTTCCCATAATTCCCAGCCAATTGGCTGATTCTGGATATGTTAGACCCAATCAGCCAGTTGGCTGGGAAAGGCTGCACCAGAGGACACAGAAATCTCTGTGGACAGAATCAGTGGCTTAGAAACAAACTACAAACTAAAATTCTTCAGCTAGTAGATGGTGAATGGGAGCGGGACCTAGATTTCTAATAGGCAAAACTCCACACATTATATTACAAAGAGGTCTGGGATAAATGCTTATGTATAAAATGTGGTTGACTTTTTTTTCTGGTGAGAAGGACAGATTGCGAAGGAAAACAGACACAAAAAGATCAAAACAATGCATCTCTCAAGTTAAGATCTCCCTTTTTGCTGGACCAACTCTCCTTTAAGATTTATACTTCTGTGCCTTGCACTGCAAACATGCAGTGTCCCCAACAAATGTCAAACCAATAAAAACTCTACTTTGTGACTCTTTTTTTAAAACCAACCAATAAGACACTGATTTTCTAAAGAACAATTCTTAGCACAAATGCACCTTCCCCCAGCCATGCACCCCAGTGAAAAGACTGAAATAAAAGTAGGAAGAGCAATGGTAGAGTATTAAAACAATGGGTAAGTTTTAGTAGCACAAACCTAAACAGAACAGCAAATTGCTATAGAGGAGCCTTTCAAATTCAGTGCCCAAACTGACAGATAAGGTAAATCAATCTCAAAGCAGAAGCAGAAAGTAAAAAGTGATAAGAAAGTAGTCAAAGTAGAAGTCCATTGAATGGATGTCACATTCTTGTTAGAAACAGCAGCCTGTAAATCACACTCTGCTCTTTACTCCTGAGTGTGACTGAACATAGTTCTCTTTTGAAGCCTTCAATTAAGAAAGTGTTTGGGAAACTTAAAGAAGAACATTTAGGAGGCGATTCACTTTTTTATATCCCAGTGGTGGAAATCAGCTTGGTATGCCTCTTCTATGAAAACATTAATTTACTGTTCTTTTCCAAACCAGTAGGAAAATATAGTATCTGTTCCTCAAAACTTCAGAGATTTTTACAGACATCAGCTTCCCTACAACTCATACAGGTTTTATATAAACACAATCATTTCGTTCACTGCCACACAATTTTTGAAGAACATTTCATTCTTAATAAATAAAATTGTTAGTAAAAAAGTTTTCAGTCAGTTTACATGTTTTAGGAATGAAACCCTTGAACTATTTCTGAAGAACGTTTGTGGCACAATTGAGCCGGAGTTAAGCGCCTTTTATCGAAGCCAATAGAAGAAATAAGCAGGTGTTGATATACCTCGTACATACAGTAACTCCTCAGATCTCGAAAAGGTGTCAGCTTTCATGCCCCAGTTGTACTACTTGAGGGTTTCCCCCCACTCTGCTTACAAGTGTTAAACATCTTTGACAAATGAAAGCTGAAGTAGGATGCTTCCATAAATAATTGTTACCTCAGGATCTCCTTTAAAAAAATATTTTTGGCAAAGTTCTGCAACTGAAGCTACATGAAACCCTCGAAAACCTTCTCCCCCTCAAGGGAAGAACTACCTCAAACTTCTGCTTCACTGAAAGATGGACACAATGGGAAAGAGTAAGTGCAGCTGCATAAGAACATGCATGCAACAAACTTGTTTACTCTGAGCAACCCCGCTCATGCCTCTTCTGTGTAGCAGCCGTCCTTCGGCACGGTCCCAAGCAAAAGATGCTCCTGCCTTGGAGATGCCTGGCCTTCTCCACGCCCACTCATCCTCCCCCCCCAGCCCGCATCTTTGCCTGATCCTGAAAACAAAACTTCGGTATCCCTACACGCTATCCACCCGGCCTTGCTGGGGCGCATTTAACCCTTTGCATTTCTCTTTTCGTCTTATGAGGCTAAACAAGGAGTCTTGGGTTTCCCTCTTCCCAATCTTTGGGGTGCATTGGGGGGGGCACAAGCTAGGGCTTAATCGGAGAGTCCACACAAGGCCCTCCGTTGCCGCCCAGATGCCAGCAGAAAAAGTACAACAAGGAGAGTGAGTGCACATCATCCCACCTGCCTCGAGAAAAGCAAACCGGCCTGAAACAGAGGGGACTGAGAGGGTCCTAGGGAAAAGGGGTCCCACTGACTCTTGAGCTCTCCAACTCGTCTTCCCCTTAAAAGCATCCGAGTAACTATCCCCCCTTTCCGTCCTCCCAAATTTCCCAGCACAACACAACAGCACCAGCCCACAACAAGGAGGGGACTTTGCTTCTCGGTCTTAAAAGCGATCCTCATCGTCTTAATAAAAATAAAACTTTTGGAAAGGGTTTGTTGCTGTCGGCGGCCGCTGCTTCCCTCGCCCACGATCTCTGAGGATGCTGAGAACAAGACAAAGTTCTTTCGGGGGAGGAGGGAGAAAAGGGGGGGGGAGAGAAATATGGCAACAAAGAGCTGAAAATCTCGAGGTTGGGAAACTTTCAGGCCGGACAGAACCGCCAAGCACTCACCAGAGGAAGAAACTGGAGCGGAGGAGCTGGATGGAGGAGGTTTAGGAGAGAAAAAGTGGCCGCGGCACTTGAGGGAGAGTCTCTCCTCTCTCCTCTCTCTCTGCAGATTTCCTTCAGAGCTCAGCGGAAGAGGAAGGAGAAACTGCAGGCAGGAGAGAATGGCTGGGGAGTCGAGGCAGCCGGACCCTCCGTATGGGAGAAGGGTTTTTGGATGACTGAACTCTCAAACAATTCCCTTCTTTTTGCTAGCCCGGCGGCTCTGGAGCCTCCCATTCCTCCCCCCTCCTTTTTTGGCAGGAGGAGGGGAAAAGGAGGAGCCGAGAAAAAAAGGGGGTTGAAAGCAATGGAACTCGCCCCAAAGAAGTCCCACACAATACTCGTCCCCTGCAAAAATCAATCAGGAGCACCGGAGGGGAGGCGGGCGGGAGGCGATCTCTTGCTTGCACCTGATATTTTTATTTTTTTTATTTCGAAGAGGGGGGCAAGCGTTGGTCTAAGAGATCGCCGAGAAAACCGAGCTGTTAGCGCTCTCCAGATCTTGAGAGCAGCGGAAGTTGGGGAAAAGTTGGATTGAAAAGTTTGACGAAGAAAGAAGCTCGCTCGCTTTCTCCACCCCTCCCACCCCGTCCGTCTTTTGCTTGTGCCGTTGGTATGTGGCTGTCCTCAGTCAAAGCTTCTGACCTGATCCCTATTCATCACCTCTGAAAGGGGTTACGATGGAGGGGGGGGAGTGATAGGAGGGATTGTTTTACGATAGCGGAAATTCGCTTTTTTTAAAAAATAAAAAAACAAAACAAAACACACATTGGTCACAGCGGGGTGTCTGTTTTTAAGCATGGAAGTGGAAGGGCAGAAACCTTGGGACAGTCTCTTTTGCTGATGGGGGGGGGTGGAAGGAAGGTGGAGAGTTGGATCCAACCAAACCAATGTGGACAGTTTCTGGCCCTCCAGAGATTGTTGGACTGCATGATCTAGCATCTGGAACCATTACTTTTGCTGGCTGGGGCTGATGGCAATTCCAGCCTGACATCACTTGTGGGGTCAGAGTTGGCCAGAGTTAAGTGAGCTCCCCTGGCTGGATAGGTCGGTGAGTTAGGTTTTGGGCTGTGGAGCTGGAGGTTGAGAGTTTAGTTCCCCCCCCCCACTATGCCTACTGGAGAAGAGCCAGCTTGTTGTGTGCTCCTGGACAAACTGCACAGTCCCAGGGCACTAGAAGCAGGGAAGGGTCAATAATGTTTGTGTATTTTTTTTACCTAGAGAACCTTGGAAAGGGTTGCCATCGGTCAAAATCGACTTGATGAATGCTGTTATAGCTACTATCACTAGCCTCTGCTGTGCTTTGAAATACTATGTTGACTGCTGAATTGTCTTAGGATGGTGGCTTAGTCAAAAAAGTAACTTTTCCATAAAGCTCAGGAAAGTTATGTTTCTGCAGTAAAACTCCCGGAATCCTCCAGCCAGCATAGCTGTGACAATGTGCTCTTCAAGAGATTCCAGAGTTAAATTAACTCTCCTGATGTATAAGAACATTGGCAAAAGAAAAAAAGGACTAGCAATTAACAAATCAACAATTAATTAACAATATTTTGGTTTCCCCCGCTTTGCCCCCTTTCTATTACCAACACGCTGAGACAGACCAACATGACTCATTCAGTCTATAAGAACTGGAAGTAGAACCGTCCCATCTTTTCTTACGGCTTTCCATTGATTTTCTTTATATATTTAAATTTTGTGGCTATTGCAAGCTACAGACTATAAGCAGCAACATGTAAGATGCCAACATGGCAGCAAGAGGGACTAGTTGTGAAAGAAATTAACTTGGTAGAACCTTATCATATGGGTCCGATGGCATGTTATAGACATGTTGGGGGGGGGAGTGAAAATACTTTTATCTGATGACTGGAAAGGAAGAGAGCAATCAAAGGGTTTAAGAAATGTTAAGAGCATGGTAGTTGTATTAGTCTATAGTAGCAAACACAGCAACAAAGACTCTAAAGGCACCTTAAAGACTAGCTAGTTTTATTTGGCTTATGCTTTAATGAACTGAGGTGGGTGGCAGCACACAAAATGTTTATGCCAAATAATACTTGCTACTCTATAAGGAGCCTCAAGAGTTTTTAAAAATATTATTTCAGGTGGGAAGAAGACTAAGATGGAAAGGTTACAGAGACTTGGGCTGAAATCCTTTACACACTTATAAAGAGTAAATGCAATTTAGTGCAACTATTTCAGAATGAACATGTGTAACATTGTACAGTTAAATTATGGGGCATACATCCTAATCCTGCTGGAACTTGTGTAAGGTTTCCATAAATTGCTGCGGCTAATTGATGTGGTGCCAGGGCACATCTTGATTGTATAATCGAGTACTGTATGTTATTAAGCACGTCCTGGCATCTAATCAATTAGCTTCAGTTAGCCACAGAAAATTCTGCAAACCTGATGTAAACACCAATAGGATTCTGGGATTATTTGGGAAAAGTAGTAAATAGTATTCCACCTTCTTCTGTCACAGTATTAGAATTCAGGGTCACTCAGTGAAATTGACAATGTAGATCAAGGAATAACGTCAGATTTTCCCATCTGAAGTCACAACTTGTACTCTGAGGAAATCCACTCGTGCCAAAGGAGTAGCCATCTCTGTTGCAACAAAATCAACCAAGAGTTTTATGGTACTTTAAATGCTAGCACGTTGTATTTGGCATAAGTATTGATGGACTATAGCCCACAACAGCATATGCCAAACAAAATGTTTTAGTCTTTAATGTTTCAGAAGACTTTTGGTTGTTTCCTCTGTCTTGGTCTGTGTATTGCACTCTGTATGCTAACAGATGACATGTACACACGTGTAACTTGAAGTCACATCATACTTCAGTATTGATTATGCTTACAGAGACCAATAGCAACTACAAGCCAACAACGTGCCCTTTCTTGCTATAAAACAGAGAAAGAGGGAAAACCTCAAGTTGGTGGGCTTAATTCATCCTTTGAGTAGCCCTAGTCTTACCTGTCTCTCCTCAATTCTTATATATCCCCAAAACCCCACCAACAGGGAACTCTGCCATGTCATTCACTCATTCAGACAGGAATGGAACAGAGAGAAAGGAAATTTCCCCCTTGCTCTCCCAGTCAAGTAGGCTAACTGGGCTCTTCAGTTTCTAGTGGGAGATAGTGTAGGATGGAGAAGGGCAGGCTGAATCCAGATACTCCTACTGTGTTGCTTCACTGCACAGTTACAGACACTTGATGCTACCTGAACTGCTGTTTACCAGAATCCTGAGAGTTACAGTCTGATGAAGAAGTATTTAGAAATCTAAGCTAGAGAAGCCTAGCACACTCCCCTGAACTACAGCAGAGAATGTTATGGATTTCATTAAACTACAAGTCCCAGGATTCTGTAGCATTAAGTCATGACAGCTAAAGTGGTATCAAAGAGATTCAATGGTGCAGCATAAATACATTCAGGGCCTCTTTCAGGATATTCCTTTCCATTTTCTCCATTCACCATTTTTTTCCTCCACCCAATTTTTTTTCTTGTGGTTCTGCAACAGGCTCCAGTGTTCTGTGGCTAAAAGGCATGCTGAGGACTCTTTGGCCCTTTTTTGTTTTTTTTGTGGGGGGGTGCTTAAGTTTTTTTTACTGAAGTTTTTTTTTTACTTCTGCATACTTTAGGATTCCCCCTACCACATCTTGATACTATGTATTTCTCAGCAACCCTGCTTTATCCATATGGTCATAATAACTCAGTGCTTGTGTGTGCACTCCCTCCCCTGTTCCATATGCATACATCACTTAGGCATTTTTCCCTCTCATTATTTTATCTTACTCATTTTCTTTCATCAAACTACAAATTGTAGGATTCTGAACAATGACACCACGGTCATTAAAGGACTGGCAAACTGCTATAGCTGTGCACTGCAGATATACTCTTAATTTAATTGTTTGGGATGGGGATAGTATCATCTCAACAGTGGTTAATGAACAGCTCCATAGTTTGTTTACTTGCTTTTAATAATATGTGTTATATTTCAGTGGTGCCTCGCTTTACGATTGTCCTGCATTACGACGAAACCGCATTATGACGATCTTTTTGCCATAGCAATTGCGATCACAAAACGATGGTCTGAATGGGGTTTTTTCGCTTTGCGATGATTGGTTCCCTACTTCAGGAACCAATTCTTCGCAAAACGACAATTTTCCTACAGCTGATCGGTGGTTTCAAAATGGCTGCCGGGTAAATAAAATGGCTCCCCGCTGTTTTCTGGGATGGATTCCTCGCAAGACAGCCACCGAAAATGGCCGCCCTATGGAGGATCTTCGCTGGATGGTGAGTTTCCAGCTCATTGGAACGCATTGAAGGGGTTTCAATGTGTTTCAATGGGCTTTTTATTTTCACATTACGTTTTTGTTCTACAGCGATTTCGCTGGAATGAATTAACGTCGTAATGTGAGGCACCACTGTATAGTATAATACATATAATACTTACTTTGTTTGGAAAGATACTTCCTGCCAATCTTTCCTTTCTGTAGGTAGGCAAACAGAGATGTTTTTTCTACATCACATACACTCTCTCCATTTATGTTTTTCATAGAAGGTTATAAAATGATACTTTTGTTTCCTTACTGGAGCAGAGAGGCTTTTTTGTAGTCGTGGAAACAGTGACGGACTAGGAGTCTAGAGAAGAGGGTTCAAATCCCTGCTCAGCCATGGCAACTGACTGGAAGAGCAGAATTGGTGAAACCACTGCTTAAGTATCTCACTACCTTGAAAGCCCTATTAGGGTCATTTACAAGTCAGTTCAACTTGATGGCACAGAACGCAATTACTTTAAGTAAGATAGGTTAGGCAGTGCATTTTTTGAGCTGCAGAAATGTGAAAAAGTTCAACAGGGATGAAAACAAAACCAGTCTGTATTTGTGTGACTATACAAAGCCCTACTGCTTTTTGCAGATGATGCGGTTCTTCTGTCATGCTGATCTGACCATTTGTGACCTACTGTAAGGACAACCAATTGGTTATAAATTTTGTTAAAACCAAAAATATGGTTTTCACTCACTCTGTAACACCAATAAATTGGACAATTAATGGTACTTGCATTGAGCAAGTAAAGCAGCTAAAGTATCTAGGTATTATATTCCACCATAAACTTTCCTGGGCTGCCCATAGACGGTCCATAATCCAAGCAGCCCAGAGCATACAGAAAGGTATATTGCGCTTTTTCTTTACTAAGGGGGAGGAGAATTTATACCAGCTGCTATCCAAGTTTTTAAGCTCAAGATTCTGCCCCAACTGTTATATGGTATGCCAACTTGGATCCTAGGATTTCACTTTGCCTTTAGATATTTGAACAAGGTAATACATGCTGATCCCTCCATGGGATAACTTGACCTTCTACAGAAAGATGTCCATAACAACTCATGGCTTAAAGCTTTTCCAGCCAAACTGCATCTACTAGGACTTTCTTTGGACTTTTTTTATGCCCTGGAACCCAAGGCAGCCAACTCTATCATAGAAAAGCGGATTAGGGATATTGACTTTCAGTATTCTATTTCAGTGGCTCGCACAACATGCTCCATCTTGCACCGTGGCCTAAACTATAATTTCTCCCAAAGTGCTA